ATATACTTCTGATCTAATTGCTTTGGGTTTTACCGTGTGATTTGCTTTGACCAGTGGAATATGAACAGAAGAGTGGATGTTCTGAACTGAGGCTTTAAGACAGTCAAAGTGTTTCCAATCACCCTCTGGAGTCCTGCTATCACCCAAGAGAAGAGCATGCCCCGGGCAGTCACTGCTCTTTCAGCCAAACCCCACAATGACAGGTACAGACAGGAAGCCAACTAAACCAAACCGTGGTCGAGAGTGACTACAATCAATCTACAGACCCATGAACAAGAAAGACATCTGTTAAGTAAACCTCTGAAATCTTGAGGTTCTTTGCTGCCACAATAAAAGCTAATACAGTGTTCAACAATAAAAGAGTTCAAGGTATTATTCTTTGGTACCACTCTGTTCCAAATTAAAATTTCCAGGTCCATTCTCCAAAATAGTATGTGAAACCAAACAAGTTTTTTCATGTCTGGATGTAACAGGCACTGGCCAAACATCTATCTGACAGCTTGATATCTTCTATATTATATCTCATCTGAAGATGTATCCAATCGTCTAGGATTAATAATTCTTCAAGCTCCTCTGCTAAAACGAGAGTACTTGGAAGACAGAATCTGTATCTGACATACCCACCCCTACAGAGCCTAAAATAGTTTTTTGCACATACTAGCCATTTGATAAATGACTCTCTATTCCAATGCACAGTTGCCAGTGCTTTCTCTTACTGTCCATATCCCAAAATGAACTCCTGAGTCACAAAATTATTCATATATTTGAAATGACAGAAATGACTAGATGTGATCTTTCGACCTGAATACATAAGAGAACTAAAGTACCATGCAACAAATGATACTCAAGACTGATAACCTACACCAATAAGAATTCCTTCTAAATGGCACATAGATTCTTTTAATGAATATTAAGATTTAGAATGGATGGCCAGGTGACAAATCCCACGTGCTACACTCAAACATGCAGCAGAGATGCGTCAGCATTCATGGGTACAATTCCAAGGAAGGTTCCACAAAGGGACTCTTCAGCTCCTTCACTGGGCACTGTTCTGTCCTGTCTCTGTCTATCACTGGTCCTATGGGCCAGTCTGTCTCCTGCTCAGGGTCAAATTTTCTCCATCATCCTCTCTCACACAACTGAGCTATGTTATTTTCTTTCCTCTTTTTCTCCACAGTTTTCTTCTTTTTTGCCTCTTGCTTTTTCCGCCTTTCTTTCATGCTTCTAAGCCTTGGTACAAGAAGACATCACCATGCATCCAGAGTACTCCTTCTGTTCACAACAAATCAACCAACTGCCGTACATTAGATGTAATTTTAATGCCTCAGAGTCAATAAAAACAGGTGTGTTCCTTGCAGGATGCTCAGGGACTTCCAGAGATCTCCATACATCCTGCCAGCTATTTAGTATTTGCATCATTAGAGAAATTTGAAGACAAGGATTTTTTTCACAATTTTATCCAAAATTCTGCTGAACCACATCAACTAAACACATTCAGTTCATCAAAGCTGTACAATAGCAAAGATCTCTTCAAATATGTGGAATGAATTAATCACCATATCTCATTATAGCAATTTCTGCTCCTAAATAATTTAAGTATGATTCAGTGATATCTAATGAAAATATAAATAAATTATCTATGATACTTAGAAGTAGTCTAAAATTCCTAAAATATAGGCCCAATCATAATAAACATACATTTTTCCTTTCTTCCCAGAATATCCTTTCCCCTTTTGTTCCAAAAATAGCACTCTCCCTTCTTCTCAGATGTGTCACCTTTACCTCACTGTGAAATCCCACAGAACAGTGTGAGTCAAATATATGCTGTCATCCTCTTCCTCCACTATGGCCAGAGGTGTACAGCTACCTAAAGCTGGGCCAGTCATGGCACCTAACCTTCTGGCCAAAGTTGATCTATATTTGCATGGATATGAGCATATGACCCAAGGTGAATCAATCCCAGTCCTACCCCAAGATTTCTCAAAGTGAAACGAAGGCTAGAAGAATGATTTCCCTCAAGCAGTGAGGAAACTAGGCATCCAAAGGCATGAGAACTGCCAGCAGCCCTGCGCCCTGCACTGAGAAGAAACCCAGCCATAGAGAACTAAGCCAAGAGGCAGACAGAAGCAGACGCTGAAACAGAAAAGACTGAACACCTTGGCAGCATTCAGTTCCCTGGTTCCAATTGTCCTGGATGATTGCCACACTCCTGCTTTCCTCCTAGGTACATAATAAGCCTTCCAAGAAATTCCCCTATAGATCTAAGTCAATTCACGCTGTTTTTCTGTAACCAGTAGCCAAGGAAACTCTACATAATATACCAAACATTGCAAGGTACACATTTGACTTCTTGAGGGTAGGGTCTAGGAATACTGAATGAAATTCTAATGTATCTGCCACAAACTTAGTATTTAGTCAATAAACCTGGCATTTAAGAATGTCACTATTTAACACCTTCTTCACTGCCTTCTTCACTGGGGGTAAGCCTTGTCTTTGCATAAGATGGTCAGTTTCTTGTGATTTTTAGTGAATTTCCTCTTAGCACAAGCCAGGAACATAGGTATTCAGTGGGTATACACCAGGCCAAAAAACATGAAGATTGTGACACTATGAAAGTCATGTGATCCTCTGAAATATCATCAGACCCAACGTAAGGAGGTTTTTGTGTTCTGGAAAAATCCATCTCAGGATAGTGATGGTCGGTCGTGTAGCAAGACAACACTAATAAAATTGGAGAAAATCATCACTCACATGATTATTTCTTACCAAAAGATACATATCTATTGATGGGTTCAAAGGGATCCAAGGTACCAAAAAGGAATTCGGATGGCTGTGGAGTAGGCAGTTTTCATCTCAAATGAAGAATCTGACTGAAAAGCTCAGCAAAGATAACTTTCGCTTTCCCTAAGAACTGGGTCTAAGATGAGGCTGCTAGGAATTCAAAATTAATGAGGCAGGAAATGTAAAATCCAATCTGTGTTAAATGTGTTAAACTGCATTTAGGAATAAATCCATTCAGGATATACACGTGTAAATACCTTTTCCTATTTTTGCTGTACCTGTGCAATATAGTATTTTTGTATTCAAAGTAAATGACCAGTTTGTCTGGGGCTGGTGACTCACTCCAGAGGGTACCTGAGAGACAGGGTTGAGCTAGAAGCCCCTCCCCAAGAAGGCCCTGCCCGTCCTCAAACGGTGGAAGCAGATGTAAATATTCAGACAGCCCTGCTTCAGAACCTCGGCTTCATCCAAAGAATACACACTCTAAGGATCTCACAGACCCCAGAACTCAGGAAGAGACCTGATTTTTCAGTACAATAATTACAATTTTAAAAAGCAAATTCATTCTAACTCCTCAAAACTGATGTCTACTCTCTTAACAAATTCTAAGGTTAAAAAACAAAAGTAAACAGGTTACTCTCTATAATTTTAAGCTCTTAGAAGCTTATACATTCATTTTATGTATTTGTTTTATGCACCTACTCAGCACAATGTATGAATTTAATACATGCTAATAACAAAAGAAAACAGATCATATTACAAATTCCTGGGCATATATCCAGAAAAGATGAAAATTCTAATTCAAAAAGATATACGCACACCAATGTTCATAGCAGCACTACATACAAAAGCCAAGACATGGAAAAAACCCAAATACTCATCAAGAGACAATTGGTTTAAGAAGAATATTACTCAGCCATAAAAAAAATATATTGTCAATTGCAGCAACATGGATGGACCTACAGAATATCGTACTAAGTCATATCATAGTAAGCCAGACAAAGAAAGAAAAACATGTTATGATATCACTTACATATAGAATCTAAAAAATAATACAAATCAATTTATATACAAAACAGAAGTAGACTCAAAGACATAGAAAATAAACTTGTGGTTACCAAAGGGAAAAGGGAAGGATGGAAGGATAAATTATGAGTATGAGATTAACAGATACAAACTATTATATATAAAATAGATAAGCAACAAGGACCTATTGCATAGCACAGGGAACTATATTCAATATTTTGTAATAACCTATAATGGAAAATAATCTAAAAAAAATACGTTATAACAGAATCACTTCACTGTATACCTGAAACTAACACAATATTATAAATCAACTAATTAACTAAATCAACCAATTTTAATAACTAAATCAACTAATTCAAGTAAAAAAAGAAAAAAGTCATATTACAAAATGCAAATTCTTCTTAATTGAATAAACTTATTTAAACAGCTAGGTTCTAGACACCAATTTTAGCATAAAGCTTCCTCAAAGTTATTCCAGAAGATTATTTGCATATAATTTTTGGAACAGCTAGGTTCTAGACACCAATTCTAGCATAAAACTTCCTCAAAGTTATTCCAGAAGATTATTTGCATATAATTTTTGGAAATCTCCACTCCAAAGTTCTTTCAATATAAATTGCATTTCAATCTTTTCAATCAGCAACATGCCTAAAGAACACGCTGGAAGATCAGAGATCAATGTTCTCGATTTTTTTTATCTATCAGAAGTGTGTGTGTATATGAGTGCATGTATGTACACGTCTGCATGTATGTGTATGTATATATATATCAATAGAGTAGCTAAATTTGACCCAAATCCACCCTGCAACTGTACTAATAATTCAATTTTAAAAGGATATTTAAGTATGGATTCAAATATGGATAATTTAAAAATCTTAAAGAGTCAGGCCATATTCACAAAAATGGCATCATTTAGTAAAATTTCTTTAGAATCTCCATTTATAATTCTTAAAAAAAAACTATAGATATAAAGAACTATTTGAGAATTATTTTTATCCACCTCTGTTCTGATTATAATGTAACTGCATTAGAAGACCTATTAAAGAAATTTAGTATAGTTAAATTTCAGTTCAAAGCCGTTTAAAAACTTTCAGTTCCCAGCAGAGAGATAATGTACAGAAATCTCAGTTCTAGTGCTTGAGAAACAAGGAAGCGTGTGCTCTAAAGAATGAAGTCGTATTAGCTTTCACCTGCATTGATGCTCCTTCTACTCTTGCCACGCAGGCAACCCGATCAAGGAAGGTCACTGCCACGGGCACTGCCACAAAGAAGCCTTTACAAAAGGCCTTGAGGTACCTTTTCACCCAGCCTTGAGAGTGTGCCATACCTAAAAACATAAAGAAAACAAATACAAAATTAGCCTCAAAAAAGATAAAAAAAAAAAAGTTAAGAAAAAGCAACCTCATCTCAATATATAACACATTCACCCCTGTAACCACTGGAATAAATTTGACTTAAAATCCCAAAGGCAAATACATTAACTCAGGTTAATTATTTTCTGTATCTCAAGTCTACTTGATAACTTCAATGGAAAATCTCTCCTCACAAAGTGGTAAGTTAGAAAAAAAAAATAAGCATTCTAAAAATAAATTCTTTCTTGTTGCTGACTATTATGGTGGAGATGCTCCTTAAACCCCTGATATCTGTTCTCTTCTGCAATAATGGAAGTTTAGTGGGCAACATGACTTCCCAGCCTCCCTCAGCCTCTCTTCCTGCTAAGTTTCACCACAGGACTAAGTTTGACATGAAAAGCCAAAAATAGAAAAGAAACATAAGAAAGGAAGGAAAAAAATTAAGAAATATAGTCATGAAGAAAAAGAGGGAGAGGGAGGGAGAAAATAAGTAAATAGTAAAAAGAAAAGAAAAAAAACTATAGTCAAATTCTGTCCAGATACTCATTTCTGAAGATTTTACCCAGTGAACTATATAACTTAATCCTGAAATGAGAAGCAAAAGAAATGTGGAGAAACGTGTTACTACCTATACAACACGTAAATTGTTGTAGTTATTGGACCCAAGTCTCCACTTCTCACTTTATTTTGAAGGAATTTCTCCTTTTAAAGACACATTACAAGCAGGGTCACATTGTAATGAGGAACACACAGTCTTCTAACCCTGACAGAGCAAAAGAATACTCCAGAGTTATCAATGTGGACAATGACTTTCAATCTTTTTTGACCATGTCCCACATTAAGAATTACATTTTATAGCAACTGAGTACTCATTCATACGCACACATACATACACACAGACACACTCGCATTACAGCAAATAAGAATTGAAAAGATTCTCACAACAATACTTAGTTATACTATATAATAGACTATAATTCCAGTCTGTTCTACTTCTTGAGTAGGACTAGATAGATAGAGGGAGACCAGACTATTCCAGTGGTTCAGGATAAGAGATGATGGTAAGATGGATTAGGGTGGTGGTGGTGGAGATGGACCAAAATGGGCAGACTCAACATACATACTTTGGAGGTTAAACTGACAGGATTGGAAATGGATGGGCAAAGGTGGGGAAGAGAAGAGATAAGAGAAGAAAGTGTCAAGAGCAGCATGGTATTGGTACCAAAACAGACATATAGACCAATGGAACAGAATAGAGAGCTCAGAAATGAACCCACAAACTTTTGGTCGACTCATCTTTGACAAAGGAGGCAAGAATATACAATGGAATAAAGACAGTCCCTTCAGCAAATGGTGTTGGGAAAACTAGACAGCAGCATGTAAAACATGAAGCTAGAACACTCCCT